AGAGAGAGAGAGAGAGAGAGAGAGAGAGAGAGAGAGAGAGAGAGAGAGAGAGAGAGAGAGAGAGAGAGAGAGTTCGCCACACTGTCCACGAAGTCATTCTAACACTCGTGCTGGTCGGTCTCTTCTGTGGCTTTTGCCTTCCAGGAAATGCTCCAAGATGCACGCCCACTGCTACCGCTCACATGACAACACAACTTGACAAGTCCCTCAAGCAAACAGCAACTGACGAGCATATTAGATGCGGGTTACTTCATTCGTACATTTGAAGACCTGCTTAACAACAGTGGCACTCTTATAATTCAAGGGGACTTGGAACAGCTCCCCTCGGCCAATTCTCAATCACATCATCTCAGCCCACCCCGTGCCAAGTCTCAATCACACCATCTCGGTCCTCTGAACTGAGTCTCACACACACACACATGCTGTAACTCTGTTGTACTCTACTCTTCTCCAACTCTACTGTACTCTACTATACTCTACACTCCTGTTCTACTCTACTCTCTACTCTCTACTCTCTACTCTACTCTTAAGACTTCAGTCTTCTCCTCTCCTCTACTCTACTCTACTCTACTCTCTACTCTCCTCTGCTCCTCTCGACTCTTCTACTCTCTACACTACTCTTCACTCTCTACTCTACTCTACTCTACTCTGTACTCTCTAATCTACTCTATTCTACGCTACTCTACTCTACTTCTTTATTGTGCTTTACTGTACTGCATTCTTCTCTACTCCACTCCTCTCTACTCTAGAGGCTCTTTTCCTCTACTCTACTTTACTCTCTACTATACCCTTCTCTCTACTCTACTCTCTACTCCATTCTCTACTCCTCTCCAAGGTACGTAGTAATTGTGGTGTGGGCACTTTCGACCTATATGTCTTTAACGTATGGTGATGGTTGACAGTCCTGGCTGGACCTTGGGAGGTGGCTAATTCTGTCTCCTAGGTACGTACTATCTATGGCGTGGGGGCGTGGGGGGTTCTGACTTATATGTCTTTAAACCGCCAGTACACGGCCCCAGCCTTGCAGAAAATGCAACTCATCGCCTACGAAAATTTTGCAGGCTTGACCTACGGGACCACAGTGGCTGGCTGCAGCAGCCAGAAAAGAAAGTGCGTCGCCGGCTGTTCGGAGAAGCTTGATGCGCAGTAAGCCGCCCACAGGCCAAGGTGTGCTGGTGGTTTAAGGCGTGTCGGTGTATTGCGGATTAGGAGGGGGTTAATTCTAAATTCTTTGTTGTTTCTGACACCTAAAACCCAAAACACCATTCTATCTCATTAAGGTTCGATGTACCTCATTCAGCTGGTTGTTGCAACACTGCACCATTTCTGACACCTAAATAAAGCCTAAAACACTATTCTATCTCCTTAAGGTTCGATGTACCTCATTCAGCTGGTTGTTCTAACGTTCCACCATTGCTGTGTTTTTTTACCCGCCTACTTACTTATCACCCATTTTTTTGGTTTCTGTATTCACACGCTACTTGAGGTTTCATACACACTAATTTGAATTCCATTAATACCCCTTCCTCACGCGGGCGGAGCTGCGCTGGCCCTTCTTGTATCATGTTATATCAGCCCATATGGTACATTGCGCATTAGTTTTACTGGTGTGATTCCGTTCGGATACTTCTTCATCCAGGACCACTTTGCAGGCTTGTTGCTGACTTTTGGTTCCACAGATATTATTGTGCAGACAGTTGAAGGTCAATTTCACACACACACACACACACACACACACACACACACACACACACACACACACACACACACACACACAGTTTCTCAGACTTACTGCCATTATGTGGTGAGGGGCTTTGGACTGGCAGTCTGCTAGGGTGGCAGGGGTGGCGTGAGTAAAGTCGAAGACTTTCTCCGAAGGGTATTGCAAACTCTGGGTGATGTGGTGAGTCCTTATCGGGCTCAATCTCCTGATGAGTCAGTGGAAGTTCGACAAAACAGTCTGGCACAGCCATGCTTTCTCTGCAGAGTTCTGTATAGCGAACATGACGACACACGTGTATGTGAATCTGTATTACATTGCCCTCGTTTTGCACAAACAGAAGTGCTGATTGCATATCGAACCAGAGTTAGGCGTTTGCACATCCCTGTTGACTGAACTGTCTAAGAAATCCAGAGTTCAAGTCCTGTTAAATACAAGTTTTTCCATTTCGCAAATGGCAGGATCATGAAATCTTACATAGTAACAGAATCGTGGATTCGCCGACACACGCAGCATGGAACTCTCGCTTCCCCTTCCCCTACAGACAGGTAGGTGATCCTCAACAGCACTTCCACAACATGCGTGAGCATAAGAGTTGGACAGACAGGCTTCCTCGATGGTGTGGAGCGCACATGCTTAGTGGTCAGATTTCTGCTTATAGCTGCTTCTGCACCTGAATAAAATGGGCAGTCATATTATAGCTGTTTTTGGTTAGAAGCGGTTAATGGAAGGTCCAAAATTCGGCGAATTTTGGTGAAATTCTCACTGCTATATTTCCCTGAATTTTTACATTTTTCTTGTTTTTTTTTTTGGCTGATATGTTTGTGGCACTTTGTGCTTTAGGGTATATCTGTAGTCAGGTTCGACGTATTTGGACCAATAACAAGACAGTTGGCATAAACACCGGACTCTGAGAAAGATTTGGTGAACTCCGAAAGCTACTCCGAATAGGGTCTTATAGTGCTCTCGAGGCTTTTTTTTTTTTTTTTTTTTAATGTTTGTATTATTACCCTGCATAGTTCGTTCGCAAAAGTTTCGACAACATTGCTTGTGGCAATGCGGGGAAAACCCCCGAATTTTGGGCCTTCCATTAACCACTAGTGCTTTTGGCCCGAGTGATCGTGCGTTCTATTTGGGTGGAGAAAATAGTAGCCAAAGGACCAGATGACAGATTGAGAGGATACCGTCAGAAGCTGGCTGCTTGATCCCATGGCGTGCGAGATCTGTGGGGCAGCAGTTTCTGTTGTCACAGCCTAACCCTTTGCGTCACCAGTGGAACTGCTCTGGGCAATTTTACTCCCCCCCCCTCCTCTCCCCTTCCCCCCCCCCCCCCCTCCCCCCCCCCCCCCCCCCCCCCCCCCCTCCCCCCCCCCCCCCCCCATAGTCCTCCCTCCTCCCCCCCGCCATAGTCCTCCCTCCTCCCTCCCCCCCCCCCCCCCAAAAAAAAAAAAAATCCCCTTTGCAATTTACCCTCTCTACCCCTGTTGCGCCACTAGTGGTCCTGAGCTGGGCAATTTAATCCTACCGGGACTCGTTTAAATCCTCCTACTCCCTTACCCATTGGGTTAATGCTTCACCAGTCATGTGGGGAAGGGTCCTGAGCCAGTAGTAGTGTAGAGGGCTCCTCCAGCCAGGCGATACGGGATTCTCTTGGCCATTGGCTATCAAATTTCCAGCCACTAGTTCTGGACATGTCGAGTATGTAAACGTTGTAAAGGTAGTTAGCAGAGGAGATTTAGATTTATCCGGATGTCAACGTCAAACCCTCTTTTTATGACCATGGCGATGTCGCTGGGTTGAAAAATATGAACTGACTAACGCACACTGCAGGTGTTCGTCTGCATGAACCGTGTTCCAGGTTGATTCTGTGAAAAACAGTGAAAAATGAGGCTCTGCCACCGTTAACCCAGCCCGCTGCTTCTCCTTCAAGCTCTGGGCACTGCAATGATGGTGGCAAGAGTATCGCTGCTGCCAGCCAGGAAACTTTGGTGCAAGTGATTGTCTGCGTTCAGGCTTAGGTCAATGAATTGCCCAGCGACTGAGCACTCAGCTCGTGCAGATTGCTGGCGTTGTTCAGAAGACCCTCTGGAGCATTTGGGTGTCCATGCTACTTACCTACCATGATTGGGGCAGTGCAGAGCAGATCGGTCACTTCCAATGTCTCACTGGCTTTAAGAAAGGTGATTCAGAGCTCCTCCATGTTAGGTTCTCTCGTAGATGCGCGGGAGCTACTATGTCTCTGTCAGAATGCCCACTGGCCTCAGGGTGTCTGCGCAAAGATGAGCCGAGCACCGTCAACACTCAACAGGAGATATGCCGCATATGCTTCTCCCGTGCATGTCTGCCATGAGGAACCCGAACGTCTGGCCAATCTGCGGGAAGCGCGCAGTAGTAAGCAACGCGACTTTTTCAGCCAATCATCAAGGGGGTCCGCCTGGGCTTGCCACAGCGCTATTGAGCGCTCCGACAGGTCCAGAAGCGGTAGTTGTGCGAGTGTGGGCATTGTTAGCGGTAGGCATGGCTTTCATTCTGGTACATTGGGTAATAGATGCCAGTTCAGTGAAGTTTGCGGGAGAGTGCTGAGTGGTTATACCGGCAGGAGAGTGTACGGGCTCCAGGCTTTTGCTTCGCGTGCAAATTCCTGTCGCAGAAGGAGACGGCTGTTGTGCTCGTGTTCCGCTGCTGATCAGCCTGCGAGCAGCAGGGAAGATTCACATTCCCAAGAAGGTAACGAGGTTACAGATAAGAAGAATCAGAGGATAGTTTTCCTAGGCACTCCGCAAGTGGCTGCTGGCGTCCTGGACTCCCTGCTGGATGCATCCTCTTTTGAAGATTCGCTGTTTGAGGTGGTTGGCATTGTGACGCAGCCACCAAGCAGTCGTGGTCGTGGGCGGAAACGAGGAACATTGCTCCCGTCACCTGTGGCTGAGCTTGCAGCTGAACGAGGGTTATCTTCGGAATCCATTCTTTCGCCAGAGAAGGCATCTGAAGAAAAGTTTCTTCTCAGATTGTCAGAGTTGTCGCCGGATTTGTGCGTCACTGCTGCATATGGAAACTTGCTTCCTCAGCGATTTCTCTCGATTCCTCGGTGCGGAACCCTGAACATTCATCCGTCCCTTCTGCCTCTGTACCGAGGGGCATCACCTGTGCAGCGTGCTCTAGAGGCCGGCGAGCGCGTTTCTGGAGTGTCTGTAGCATTTACCGTGCTCGCAATGGATGCTGGGCCAATCCTGGCACAGGAAGAAGTTATAATCGATGACGAGATCAAGGCACCAGAGCTCCTCGAGAATCTCTTCCGGCTGGGAACTGCGTTGCTGTTGCAAGAGCTGCCTGCTGTGTTCAGTGGGGATGCAGCGAAGAGGGCAAAGCCACAGGACCCCTCCAAGAAGACAACTGCTACGAAGGTTAGACCGGAGGAAGGACAGTTACTGTTTCACCAGGACGCTTGGGTCCTTCATAACAAAGTGCGAGCGTTTGCGGCCTGGCCAGGGACAAAGGCGACTTTCAGAGTTGAGCGGGCAGATGCAGCGGCGAGCAACGGAGACAACACCGACGAGCTCATTGTCGTCAAAATTGTCACTACACGTGCAAAGAGACCGGAGAAGATGGAAGAACAGACCACATCGAATGCTGCAGAAGGATGCGAAGAAGACCTAGTCCGGGGGGTAGGGAGGGAAGTGGTGTTTGCAGAGGATGCACTCAAGGTTCGGTGTAGGAATGACTCGATTCTTGAGATTCTAGACGTGCAGCCCCCTGGGAAAAGAGCGATGACAGCAAAAGATTTTTGGAATGGTTTGCGAGGATGTCGCATCTTCACGGTAGAGCAGACTGAGGTCGTAAACCTGTCGGCAGCAGGAGGACAAGGAGGAGGACAAGGAGGTGCTGCGCAGGAAGTGTTGGCAGAAAGGAAATTGTGACCAGGAAGATTTCTTTCTGCATGCGGAGGCAGTGTAGCGATTAAACCTTTTTTCTTTTTTTTAACCTGGCTTCTTTTGTACTAACCTTTATCATGGAAGTCTTATTCTTATCAATCAATCAATCAATCAATGTATGCCGGCTTGCCATGGATGGATGGATGGATGGATGGTCATGAACTCCCATAGGGACCCCCCCAAGAGTATTTCATAATTTTATCAGGAACTGCAGAAAATAAGTTTGTGGTCGTGTCCCAGTGTGCCGATCCCCTGCTGTGCACCCCACTGTGCTCATGTTACGGTCGTCGGTCTTCCCCTGAGCAGAACACAACCGGACAATGAATCTATAAAAAGCTATCTTTCCGGTCAGGTACGGGCATGGTGAGGGTGTTATGTGTTCGGGGGAAGACGATTGTAGACCGGTGGTATGGTGTTCTGCATTGCTGTTCAACGGTCAAGTTGAAGTCGCTCAATTGGTCCCCCCCCCCACCGCCCCGCCCCCCTTCTTTTGTCTCAATTGATGTTTGACTGTATGACTTGTGCCCAGCTTCCCAGCACGAGAAAAACGTGTCTTGTCCCAGTGCAGCAGTGCTATCTTTCTGTCGAAAACACACCCTTCTTTTTTTTTGGCTCTCAATTGTCTCTCCTGTGGCCGGGGTAATGCATCTGCCTATCCTGTGTAAGGCCTCCCTTATTGGTGGCCAGAGTTGACAAAATACCTCCCAACAGGCTTGAGCTTCTTGGCCAGCCGCCAGTAAGCCATGGCTTACCTAGTGACGGGCAAGTGAGTGATAGGAGACTTGTATGTTGGAGAATGTCCAAGTATTGAAGTGCGCAAGTGAATAGCCGTGATGCTAAAAAAGGGGAGGGGAGGGAGGGGGCTGGAGGGGATGATGACGCAGCCAGGCACAGCCCCTGTTTTTCCTGGTTTTGCCTTTCTGCCTGGAGTCCGCTGTGAAGTCTCTTTGTCATGCCTTTCATCTGGACTGTGCTTTTTTTCTTTTTCTTTTTAGTTTGGGGTGGATCGTTCGTTACCATGTGACCATCGACTTTCCGTTAAGCGATCTGTGCAGTGCAGCGCGGTCTGCCCCCCCTTGATGGCCAGTGACGCCTGGCAAGGGTGTTTTTGCTACCGTGTTCACCCCAGTAGAACGCAAGGTCATCATAACTTCATTTGGGGCAGCTTCCAATCAAATGCAGTGATAATGACCATGCATTCTGTTCGGGTGAAGACAGTACTTTTGCTTTGGGTGCCAGTTGCTCTCGCCAGATGAGCACAGCACCTTCTGCTATTGTGATGTACAGTGGGCTTGAACTCGAGATAGATCCTCCTGTATGCAATTCTGGTTTATTGCAGAATGAGATGGGTTCGTTAATGTGGTTCATGAAATATGAAGTTTTGTTGGAGGTAGCTCTGAAGGAAGTCCCAGTAATCTTGTTGCCAATAAGTGGTCCAAGCCTTCCAATCATATTGACAGTGTACTACGGTTGCTTGATGTACAGTCGCGGGGCGGGGCGGGGCGGTCGCGGGTCGGGTTGGGTTGGGTCGGATCGGGCCAGGCAAGTCGGTCCGTCAGTCGGCCGGTCGGTCGGTCGACTGGTGGCGCAGTGTGCGATTTGCCTGGCCAGGCCATGCTTTCCATCCCATTGGCTCGACCTTGCTATTTTGCGGCGGGTTAACATGTGCATCTTTGACTGTCTTTTTTTTTCCTGATATTTTTCCCTTACAAGATAGCAGCGAAACACTCTGATGCTTTCGTTTTTTTTTTTTTTTTTTTTGAAGTATGCATGTACTTTCCGTACACAGCGGATGCATCATACATTCATGTTTCTTTTTCAGTCTTTTTTCATTGAAGGAGATGAGAGGTTGCTGAAGTTGGGAATTTCGAATTCCCCCCCCTCCCTGGATGACCCCAATTCCCCTTCCATCTGTGGCAAAAGTTTAATCGGTGGGTGGGGGGCATAGGCAGTTAGTTGTGTGGGGTGGGCTTCTGGTGGTTTAATGAAAAACACATAGATTAAATAATCCATTCGGGCTCCATGCCTGAAGCATTACACGAAAAAAGAATTGTGGAGAGAGGGGTCTATTTGACTTCCCCC